ACCAGCTACTAGAAAGAAAATTTACTCTTTCCCAACCAAAACCAAGACAATAGGTCACGATCTTATTTGCTGGACTGTGGGGGGAGGAGTGAGAAGGAAAAAATAGCAGTAAATAAAATTATGAGGGCACAGACTAGGTTTCATCATTGTGTCCAAACATCAACGGCTACCTGTGTTGCTGGGGTAACAGTTGAACTCGTGCTTGCAAGACAAATAGCCCAATGGAAAGTCAAAGGGGAAGAGAAAGACAACAAGGCCCAGAACACTGAATATAGTATGAGGCTGAAGAGGATCTAAAAAGCATATGCTATACGATCAAATTATAAGGAGTAAAATCAACTAGAACAAGACCAGAATTGAAGAGAGAAATACATTCAATAGCACTGATGCACGCACCAACTCTGTGACTTAGCCAAAAAGACATCACTGCATACTTTGACTAAGGCAGATCAAAATTCGTGTTCTGCTCGTCACACAGAGAGGACGGTGATGAAAACAACAGGACAGACCAATGCAGAGCAATTGTTAACTATGAGTTCAGTCACAAAAGGAAGACGAGATAAATTAAGTCAATCTATCATACTTATTTTAGCAGTATATTGCAGCTGTATAAGAAAAGACAAGCCAGTCCAAGGGGTAAAAAAATAAATATTCTCTTTTACTACTATGAAATTTCAATTTAAAATGTCAAAACAAAAAGATTAATATCAGGAATTCTGACATCATTATATGCTCAAACACCTTTTTTTTTTTTTTTAAATGTGCATTAAGAGCTATTAATCCCTAATGATATAGCCTTATCTTCACAAACTTGGAGACAGTTGCAAATCACACATCAAAATGCAACTATATGCAGCTTGCAAAGGCTTATGCTAGTTAACATGCAGTAAACATGCCCTCCTTAGCACTGAGCAAAATATGAAAAACTAAAAGTAATGGTTACTTTATTTTGATCAATTCTAGTAGGTGTTTATGAGCAGCACGGATACAATAATATTGATTTATTTTGAGAACTTTACTGTTTATATATAAACACGAGGGTGAGAGAAGGAAGAATTAGTCTCTCAGACGATGACCTCTCCTTTTCCAGAGGATGTCTGCAAAAATGAAAACTAATTTTAATAAACCATGATCTGCTATAGTTTGAGCCCTTCTCTTTAGGTCTACACGAGACTGTCTTCCTTTCCCTGTTCCGTTTTTAAAAGGCTTTCATAATTTATTTGAAGCTGTACTCCCTGTAAATATTAAAACAAAAAGCATGAGAAATGTAAAAAATGACAGACATAATACTTGCAACCAGATAAATGCCACTTAGCATAAATAGATACCTATACAGCAAGGGAAAAAAAAGCAAAGACCTGCTAATACAGAGTTACACCTAACAAAACATTTCTAGGGAAAATGATTTTGAACTAGCAGGGCCAAAGCCCCTATAGAGGCAGAAAAGCCCACTTTGCCTCTACCCAACTTGAGGTAGAGAAAATATTGGGATATCTAATAATGTTTCTTCAAAAGCAATATTTCTGACAGTCATTACTCAGCCTCACAGAGAAAGGGGAGCTGTGTGGAATTCATCAGGTTGCAAAATAACCTGAAGAATTCCAGCAAACAGATAAAACATTCACTGCTGGTCTAAAAGAAGCGTGCCACATAGCAGACATCCCAACCTATCAACTCTCTCAACATCCCTGTAAACAAACAGAGCAAAACAGTGCTTTACAGTCACTTACCTTATAATATAACCAACAAGATGATCGGTGTGTGGAAGTACAAAGAGGGATTTTCCAGAAAGGTCACAAGCATTACACAAAGCCGCTGCCCTCTCTGATGCAATAACATCTTCCCCTAGTGAAGTCAAGGAAAGCACAAGTAAGCAGTATGCAGCGCTGCAGTGTTAAACTACCTGTAAAAGCTTGGTGAGTACAAGGTATGGAAAAATCTAATACAGATAAAACTAAGATCACATTCTTTCTTCCTTCTTTCAGAGTTCTACATGCTTCATCCAGTAGAACACATTGCAGAAACTTTCTAGCTACTACTTTCTAGCAGGTTGTTGCTAGCTAAGCTACAAGTATGAGATAAGTTTTTAATCTCTCTCACAGAATTAAATATCATGTGTCTTGAGAAATACAATAGCATCCAGAAAAGACAAACATATATAGCAGGTATAGAAAAAACAAAACAAAAAAACCCCAGCTTGCCAGACACTAGAAAGTACACAGCTACAGCTGAAGCAGCAGTTCCACAGAAACAGAAGGTTAAAACACACCACATTTCACAGCTCTGCTTGACTCCAAAATGTTATTGCTTAAAATCAAGTCAAACTACAAGGCTTCTGTAGGTACCAAATATCCTTCTTCTAAGTTCTCATTGCTTTTACAGCTTTTCTTGAGCTGAAGCAAGGTTTAAAATGCAGCTTGCTTACAAGGAGGCATGTCACATGTATTACACTAGCAAACCATTTTTGCTACTGTGTATCAAAAGATGGACTTGGACTTAAGAGAAAGAAGTTAAGGATAAAAGTATCAGATGTTTAGGGTCAACTTCCCTGAGAACTCTTTCCATTTGTACACCTTCCTGAAGCCACAATGTATTCAAAGTATGTAGATGACATAGTATTAAGAATTGCAGATAATGTGACAAACAATAGTCAGCCATCAGGCCTTCTGAAAAATGAGATCACAACTGTATACAGAGATTTAGTACCTGGAGGCAACGGTGTTTTTTTCTGAATCAAAACCACTGCGACTTTTGTGTTTCTTCCCTGCAAACTTTGCCTAAAACAAAAACACCACAGCATAGTGTCAAGGTTTCACTTCTTATTTGTGAGTAATCAGAAAAAAAATGAAGAAAAAAAAAGAAAAAATATTTCAGTCTAGATGGAAGCATTGAAAGACTGCCATATAAGAAATAAAACCAAACACAACAACATGCTGCATCATCCACAGAATGCTGTGTTCTCTTCTTGGTTCAGATGGGACAGAATAATTGTGCTGAATTTAGCAAGCAAAATTTCAGGGGCTATTTTTACTTAAATAGCTTTTAAAAATAAACCATTTTAAAAAAAAAAGTTTCTTTACTGGCAGTTGTACTCCCAAAAGTAAAGTCCAAGTTCCCCTTAATTTGTGTCTAAGAAAAAAATAATATATTCATATATCTTAGAATGCAAAAAGGATTCTGCAATTCACATTTACCATTAGCTTGTAGTACATTATGAACCAAGTGAAAAAACTCTACCTGACAATTTCAACTCGAGTAGCACATTCCGACTGTTTTTCTTTCCATTGCGGTTCATCCCAGTCTAGTTCATAGAACACCACAACAAGTGCTGGAACCAAATTCAGGTGTTTGTTCATCCAACCAGTCTTCAGGATTCCTTTTGGAATATACCATTCATAGGACGTCCTCTGAAAACATTGAGGTTATTAAAGCAAGTCACCAAATCAATTTACAGGCCTCTTAGCATAGCACGAGAAGGGGAATTGCCTCTATATTCTTGTTACTTGTGGATACGTTTATTATGTTTCCTTTAACATTCTTTCCCTCAAGCCTTTGTTTCCTATCAAGTAAGACATACACCTCATTTGCTGGCATTAGGGCCTGATACCTGAGATATCAGCAACATAGGACAGCAGAGTCCAGGTAGACTGGAGAAAGGTCAAGTTCAGAAGCATATTTCATACACCTTCATGAAAAATTAGGTTTATATTAAAAGGGAGAGAGGACGTCTTCAGGGGTGCTCAAACAGAGCCTGGAGAAATCTGTTAGCATTCTTGTTCCTTGCCAGCATCACAGAATTATATAGTTTTCCAAGCGTTAAATGTATTGGCATTGCTTCTTAACTGTCATTGCAAAGCAGAAAGTCAAGCAGAGATATTCTTTCTGCTGCATTCCACTGAATTAAAGGCTTTACTCTTTTTCAGAATACACCAGTTTCTAATATCTAGTTTCTTCGGTTAAACTTTGGGTTTCATTAAAGCTCAAATTTTACAAACATGCTTTAATATTGAGTAAATTAACAGCAAGTACTTCAAAAAATAAATCATATTGGCTTTTTCTGCTTCTGGCTTATGAGCTAGGGCACCCTGGTTTCCTGTGCATCCACAGCACTGTGTCACAACGCCCTTGGCTTCCCCTTAGCCCTAACAGTTTTTTCCTCAGGCTTCAAGTTCTCACACTTCCCCTCCAACAGCGAGGGAAGGGACAGCAGAAGTCCAGCTGAGCGTTAAGCAGAACGAGTGCTGCTCAGCTGCCTGTAACCCCGGCCGATCAGACCGGCCCCTTGCTAGGGCCCGTGCCC